CTGCATGACAGTTTTTAAAGACTATCAATATTATATGTTTACCACTTACCCCATATATCATGTGGTCTTATAAGGAATAGTTTCATCTTTGAAATAATTAATTGTACTTTCTAACTTGAACTKTTTCTAGATCTTTTCTTTAGATACTTGCAAGACTTTAATTCTTTGATTTCACTCAGACCTTTAAATCTTAGACTCCTTTACTTTCCCTCTGTCTTTTTTTATTGTGGTAAGATGCATATAACATGATATTTGCCCTTTTATCCAATCTTAAATGTAAAGTAGTGTTAAGAATACTACATTGTTGTTCAACCATTACTATCATCTATCTTCAGAACTTTTTCATCTTGTAAAACTAAAACTGTCACCCCGCCCTTTTTTTTTTTTGGGCTGTGCTGGGGATTGAATCCAGGGCCTTGTGCATGCTAGGCAAAGGTTCTACCGCTAAACCATATCTCCAACCTTTCCCCTTATCTTTTGAAATTACTGTTTTCCTCATGCAGCTTGGTCCCTGACTCCTGGTCTATAATTCCATATTCTCTTCCCAGCTCCCTTTGCCACATTTTCTTCCATCTTCTCTACCTGATGAAATCACAAATTCTATTYTTTGACTTGAATTCTTTTTTCCCGTTTTAAATTAGAAAATTTTTTTAATTTGATAGAGAATGTTATATGTATTTATCATGCACAACATGATGTTTTGAATATATATTTTTAACCATATATGTGTRTGTGTGTGTATGTGTGTGTGTGTATGTTTAAAGATGGCTACTTAGTGGGAACTATATTAAGATGTAAAATATATTAAGATCCATCTGTGAGAAAACATAGATCTGTCTTAGGTTCCCCCGATATGTTCTGACTTGAATTCTTGTCTCTCTAGATCTTTTTCCTAGATGCTTGCAAGATTTTTTTTTAACTTCACTAAGTAGTCTTTGACTTTACTAAAAATCCAATTTTACATGAACCTAATTATCACTGGTTGCATATATGAGACAGCCTAATAAGATTAATGTCATCATAAATTTGCGATCACCAGCTTCAGGTGGGGTTCTTCCTATTGCTTAACACTCTTTTTTTGTTTCCAAATGATTTCTCTCTACTCTCTTTTCATATGTCAAACCTTATCTTCTCTCTCTAAACCTCTGGCCCTTACTTTAATTCCCTGCTTAAGCAGACTACATAGGGTCACATCCTGGCTATACTGCTTCTTAGTTGTGTGACCATGGACAAATAATTAGAAAACCATGTCTTGGTTTTCTGATCTTTAAAATGGGCATGTTTTCCAGTTTAGAGGGTTGTAAGCATCAAATATGATAATGTAAATAATGTACTCACTGGTACTGTTAAGCATCAAATATGATAATGTAAATAATGTACTAACTGGTACTGTTAATAGCTGCTTTGGTGATGTTGATGATGACGATAATGATGAAGGCAACATTACCACCACAGTACTTACACTACTTCTAGATGAGTGTTAACATAGATTGGGGGCTCAATAAATATTGATTTAAAAAAAACATGTATATGTTTCACACTGTTTATTTCTTTTCTATGTGGTAAGGATTGCAAACTGTAAATAATTGTGTCTTTTTATTACTTGAATCTAAGTTTTTAGGAGCTTCCCATTACAATTAAGAAAAATCCAAACTCCGTTCAAGGCATTAATGACCAGGCACTTGCTTATCTCTACTTTTTTATATTTYTCTAGTATACTTTCTCTCTCAGTTCCTAAACAACACATGAAATGAAAAAACATTGATATTTCTCAATTTTCTTTTTTAAGGTTTGGGAATTGAGTGATATTGACCATGATGGAAAGCTTGACAGAGATGAGTTTGCAGTTGTAAGTAACTTAATGTTCTTAAAATATGAAATATCATAATGGTTTTATCATGTGAAAATTACCCTTTTAATTAATCCTTGAAGGAAAACTTATGTTTATCAGATTGTTGGTATAAACATTTTTACCTAGAATTTATAGGTAGTTAATAAATATTTTAAAATAAATGAGTAACAAAATGTGTGTTTTGCTGTCTTCATTTTATTTGACTTTAAGGTACATTGGGATATATACTTTGATTAATGTACTATAAAGATGCTGAGTGATAAGTCTTTTATATCCTAACTTGATGAAATATCCTAGCACCTGCCTTTACGTGGAATAAATTTGTTCCAAATACATCCCCATTTTCACATTGATTTTATTGAAAGGAAACCTGAATAATGCTTTAGTTACATTTCATTCATGAGGACAGAAGCTTTGACATTGTATCTGATAAAACCCATCTCAAGACATGTTATCTTTGTAATTGGATAGTTAGTTCCAAGTAGAGTATTTATCTCTTGAAAGATTTACAAAAATTCTGCAGTGAGCTCATTTGTGTCTAACTTACTATCTTATTTTAAAATTAGTCTGTTCAAATTTTCTGTCTTGCTGAGGGACACACCTGTAATCCCAGCGACAGGAGGATCATGAGTTCAAAGCCAGCCTCAGCAATGGYGAGGCACTAAGCAATTCTGTGAGACCCTCTCTAAATAAAATACAAAATAGGGCTGGGGATGTGGCTCAGTAGTCGAGTACCCCTGAGTTCAATCCCTGGTACC